GTATAGAACTGGAATTACAATATGATGCTTCTCTGCCATGATATTCCTGGTCTTATACCAGTGAGTCTCCCCTTAATTGGAACCTAAACTGAGTTTCAATATTATTAATAGGTATTTAGTAGTAATCAATAAATAACTTCAACCAGTGATGAAATAGGAAGATCCAAGTATCTCTGACACTGTTTTATGAAAGGTGAAACTGAGATCCAGAATGGTGTATTGTCTCAGGATACGTGACTGGTAAATTGTGGAACTAGTGCCTGCTAGAACCCATGGCTTCCAGTTCCCTGTCTAGGTCTCTTTTTATTATGCTCTGCAGATGTGAATAATTGACATCTGGGTGGAAGTTGTATGGGCTGTTAATTCAGAAACTCACGTTCCCCTTATCGGACTGCCTTTTATTTTTTGATTACCTTTGCAATTATTTGCTTATTTGTTGGTGTCTTTGAATCTCTTTGATTATGGTTCCCCATGTCTGTGTAATAAAATTCTCTATTTGAAATTTGGAGGTGATTTTTATAAAGTAATTAGACAACACTAGTTGTAAATGGTTTTAGCTATGTGGTGTTAAAAGCATGTGAAGCATTTGTCACTGTGAGTTGCCACCAGTTGGTTTTATTACATGGTGGAAAGGGGTCCAATTTTAAAATGAAATGACTCTTATTGCCAAGATAGTCTTCAGAGATTAACATATCTGGGCTTTAATCTATTGAAAACATTCTTTTTTTCTATCCCACCTTGCCTTTTTTCCTTAAACTATTATTGTAGGTGTATTTAGTAAAATAGTTTCTATTTTAGAATATAAATTTAGGCAAGAATCATCTTGTTATCTGGTGCTGGGTATATCATAGTCTTATGTTTGTACATATGAATATATTTGAAGATATTGAAGATAATAAAATTCGAGTTCTTTTGGGGGACTTTTAGTCATGTGCAGTGGTTTAGCTAGATCTGTGAATTATTAACACTTGAATCAGTTTAGTGAGAAAAACTTGCTATAACTTCATTACATAGCTTTGACTTTTTTTGAAAAAAATTCACATATATGTCTGTGTGCATGTATCTCACCCAAACCCATTAAATTTCAACAAATCCCCAAAAGATAACATAGCAAAGGACCTCCCTTTCCTTGAATAAATAGGCAAATAATGTAGCTGGACAGTGGTTGGGTGGAGAATAGATGATAGTAGGTCGAAGTTTTAATTTTCTGGTATGTTAAACTGTGACAAGTATAATAGAAATTATTTGATGGACTATAACACAATTATTTGTAGAGTCATAATTTTTCTTTGAGGAAAATATAGCTAACACTGCCTTTCTCTTATCTACCAGAAAGAATGTTGGGATATGCTTAGATTAAATTTATTTACATAATATAAATATAAATTTTGCAAAGTTGAGTTTATGAAATTTAAAAAAATTGACTTGTAGAGGAGTACCTTTATTTGGGTGGATGATTGCTGAGTTGCCACCTGGAACTTCTTGCGATTTTTGCTTTTCTTTGCCCTCTGCTTTTAGCCTTTTCCTAGCCTTGTGTAATTAGTGTTGGTTTCATTATATGTTTGTGGTATAACAGACAGTCAGGTGTAATTATGTGCTTAAAAATAAACCAAGGAAAAAATATTAAGACTGGTTCATTTAAAGGTAGCAGTTATAAAAGTATGAGAAATTACCCAGAAATATTGTTCACAGCTGCATAGGACTGTTTTGTGTATACAAATGATAAATTATTCTACCAATCTCCTGTGTTTGGATGTTTAGATAGATTTAAATAGTTTGCAATTACAAATAATCCTTTAATGAATAACCTTGTGCGTATGTATTTTCATGTTGTTTGAGGTATATCTGTAAGATAAATTTCTAGAAGTGAGATTGCTGCCTTGAAGGGAAAATATACATGTAATTTTGTTAGATGGTGCCAAACTCCTCTCCTTGGGGTTTCACCATTTTGCATTTTCACCAGCAGTGCATAAGAGTGCCTGTTTTTTCACAGCCTTGCCAACAGAGTGTGTATGTTATCAAAGATCACCAAAGCCAGGTGCTATTAATAGTTAAAGTGGTAAGGACGGGTTTTAATCAGTAATATACTATTGCAATAGGGAAAAGAGTCCAGGTAGAACTGACCTTAACTTTGATTTGTACAAAGGTGATGGAAGAATGAGGAACCGGGGACGGAGTGAGCAGGGGCTTAGTAGAGTCAGAGAAGTGAAAAATTACAAGAAGGGAGACAGAGCCATTGGTCCATGTGAAGCCTATCTGGGCTTACTAACTGGCACCTTGGGTTAGGCTCCTTCCCTCCCACAGAGGCTGGCCCTATCTTTAGGTGTTGGCTGGAACAAACAGTGAATTCTTTTGTCAGCCTTGCATTTTCTTAGGCAGGGACTTTAAAGGGGCCTAGAGTCATCCTAAGGATATGTTCTTGAGCATTAGAAACTATGATAGTGTTCCTTCAAGTTATTTTAGGCCAATGTTCAGGCCCAGTTGAGAAGAGGGCTCAGAGGAGCCTGGCTAGAGTTTGGTTAAGGAGAGAATCCTTGTCAGTGGTCAGCTTTAAAATTTTTACCCATCTGATGAGTGAGAATTTGTATTTTACTGTAGTTTTAATTTATATTTGTCCTGTTACAAGTAAAATTGAACATGCTTTCATGTTTCAGGGCCATTTTTATATCTTTGTGAAGTGTGTTCATGTGCATTCTTCCAATTTTTCTATAGGATTTTTGGTCTTTTTTTTCCCAAAACTTTTGAGTACTTTATAAATGTAGGATATGAGCTCTTTATTGTGAACGTATGTTGTGAACATTTTTCAAGTTTATCACTTATCTTATGACTTTGCTCATGGTGTTTTTTTTTGCTATACAAATGCTGTTTTTATTTTTATGTAGTAAAATTTATTAAATTTTACTTTTATTAACTCTGAATTTCGAGTTGTAATTAGAAAGCCTTTTCTGATATCAAAGTTAGAGTAGAATTGATTCATAGTTTCTTCTAGTGCTAGTATAGTTTTATTTTTTATCTTATCCATTTGGAAGTCATTCTTGTATATTATGAGGAATAGGTCTAATTTTGTCTTTTTCCAGCTGACTATCCAGTTGTGCTAACATTATTTGTGAAAAAAGACTATCTTTGCCTAAGTGATGTGAGATGCCATCTTATCATACACTAGATTTTTTAACGAGGCCAGATCTATTTCTGGACTTTTTTATTGGTTTATTAGTAAATTTATAAATTAATTAGAACTGACATTTTGATGATGTTGAGAATGAGGGATGGCTTTCCATTTGTTCAAGTCTATTTTTGTATTTTTCAGGAGTGTCATACAGTTTTCTTCATGAGTTTTTGATCATTTCTTAAATTTTTTCTTAAAAATTTGATCTCCTTTGTTGTTATGGTAAATGGGGTTTTCTCATTCAGTGGATCTTCTAAATGGTTATGATTTGTATATGAATGTTGGGTTTTTTTTGCATGCCAATTTTATAACCTGCTACCTTGCTGAATTCTTTTATTGTTTGAGATAGTTTTATCATTGATTCTCTAGGACTTTCCAGGTGTGTTATTATGTCATTAGGCGATAGAAATAGTTTTTTTCTTCTTTTTTTATTCTTTTGCTTCTAATTGTTTTTCTAATTGCATTGGCTGATATCCCAGATCATTATTAAATAGTAGTGGAGATAGTAGGAATCTTTGCTTTGTTCCTGACCACAGTGGTTATGCCTTAGAGTTTTCTCATCTTAAGGAAATATCCATCCATTCTTATTTTTGCACAAGTTTTTATTAGAAACGGGTGTTGAATTTTGTCAAAGCGTTTTTTTTTTTTTTTTTTTTCCAGTTGAGATACTTGTTTGGCTTTTCTCCTTGACCTATGAATAGAGTGAGTTATATTATATTAATAGATTTTATAAGATTAAACCATTCTAGCATTGTTGGCATAAACCCCACTTGGGTAGTCTAATTCCAGAGCTTAACTCCTCTATTTTACTATATCCCAGTTTAGTTTCAAAGATTTGACACGCTTATTCAAAAGTGTACTAAGTCATACAAGCTAGTACTTTTATGAATTGCTAAATGAATGTTTTGGTAAATGAGTTTAGATGAGGGAGAGATCATCATTGGATGAAAAAGCTTTTTAAAAGAGTGAGGACCACTACTAATTGTGACATCCTGTCAACCACACCATAGCTACGCTTGCTATATTTTATTTCTGCTAGCTGTTTGTCTTGGAGGGCTTACTTACACCAGAAGCAGCCTTTCAGTGTTTTATCAAGCATAATCAGTTGTGGTGGGTTGATCACAAGCTAAAGAGATGCTAGAAAAATCTCAAATGATGGAGGAAATGCTGTATTATGACAAGTGGGAAGCCTGCAAAATAGAAAAAGAGGGCAGGATGGCAAACTAATTGTTTTTATGAAGGATAAAGAGAGAAAAAATTCATGCATTTCCATTAGGGAGAGATTTGGGATTATGTATGTTTCATAGCCTGTTTATGTAAAACATTACTTTAAAATGTTGTGAGATATAGACTACCTATATCTATAATGATTTAAAAAATTTAGAGATTGTCAAAGGTGTTTGCTTAATTTACACAAATGAAATGGTTGAGTTGTAAATCCTGCCTCCTCTTTGCAAGTTATGATTCAGGTCTAAGGATCAATATGAAGCTGTGTTCGCATGTTTAGAAGCATGTTTTTAAAAAATACCTTTTGGGAAGTTTACGTCACTGTTTATTAGAACACTTGCTAATTCAATAACTTCTTGTAGACTTTATGGTTGTGTGACTACAACATATAGACTGATACTCCTAATAAGTACTAAAAAGCCGTGTTGAAATGGGAATTACTGAAATAAATTTTCTTACCACTGAGTTTTCTCTTTAGATATGTCATTTGAAGAAATTTTCTTAGTTATCTCTAATTTTTGAATAAATTTGATTAATAGCATGTTTTATTATAACTGTAAGTGTTAAACATAATAATTTGAAAATTGGCTCTTACCATTTTCTTCAGCATGTTACACCAGACAGCTATATTCCATGCCTTGCGGACCTGTGCAAAGCACTGTGGGAGGTTATGCTCAGCTATTACAGGACTATGGAATGGCATGAAAAGCATGACAATGAGGATACTGCTTCAGCTTCTGGTAGGAAATTATTTTGATTTTATTTTGAAAATTGAACTATAAATATACCATATTACTGAAGTTAGAAGAAAGAAGGGGGGCAGGCATGCCTTTAGGTTTCTGGGGACTGTAGTATCTATAGGTTAAATCTTCAGCAAAATGGTTTAGCTACTCTAGAAGCTCCGTTACCTTTGGGGATTACCTGGGCCAAAGGACTTTTCAAGTGGCAGATAGTACCACTTTCTAGGAGTGTGTGCTGAGGGCCTTAGGGCTGAATTACTGGGAAAGAGCTTTTTAAAAAAAAAAAAAAAATTATTATTTCTTTAATTAGTTGCAAACTAGGTAAGACATTGATCTGTCCAAAGTTACTTGGAAATTAATGTTAGATGTTCAATATTAATCTATTTTGCTATTTTCAAGTTGGACTAATAATGCTAGCTTCTGAGAATTAATAATTATATTAATACTTTCCATCCTGAAAATACGCATTTTTTTCATTAAAAAATGTTTTAAAATCTTCGTATTTGCATGGAAAATACAACTTTAAATGACCGTGATATATAGGTAGCTAAATAATAAAAACAAGTCTTTGAGAAATTATGTTCACTAGGTATTCTATTTAAATTGCTTCATTTGCATAATTATATATCTTAAGTAATTATCCTTGAACAGTAGCTAACATTAAGTATTCAAAATAGTTTTAAAAGCGATGAAAGATTGGTTTCTGTTATTAGGTGGGTGGAGGAAACACCCAAATCTCACTGTTTGATTAAACATAAGATTTTGGTAGCTTGGAAGAGATAAGTTTAATCTTTGTCTTTACTCATAAGAAGCTCATAGATATAGAAATCAAAAATAAGAGAGGAAAATTTTATGGATGGATTTTCACCCATGTAGAAGTATTATTGAGGAAGGTAAAATAAGGTAGAGAAAGAGAGAGGAATGAGCACTCAGCCAGGATTCCAGACCAGACTGGTTTTACCCAACCGTGATACTCTGAGGTAATCTGAGGGCCTGGCTTCAAGTTTTCACTGCTATTTACCAAAGGTGAGAACGTGAAGAAATTGCTTCATCTTTTTCAGTCTTCAGTTTGCTTCTTAAAATGGTAGGCAGAAAAAACAAACGAAACCCCCCATAGAGTAGTAACACATCTACCTGGCAGGGTTGCTGTAAAGTTTAGAGAGAATGTAAGGTAGCTTACATTGGTGATAGTGAAAGGAAATGGATCCATAGATAATTATACTAATGAATGATGCCTATAGGGCCTTTTTTTTTTTTTTTTCCAAATCTCTGGTTACTTAGGGAATTTCCTAAACTCACTAGATTGCAGTTTTCCACAAAGCTTTTCCTGTTTTGGCAACCTTTGTATTTTTACTACATGTGGATACTTAAGACATTTCAGCAATTTTTTTTTCTTTTCTAATACCTTATTTAAAAGGAAAAGTTTAGAATAGAATTAACACATACTTTAGAATTTAGAGGACATTATCTATATTTTAATCATGGTGAAGTTTGCTTTTTGTTTTAGGCCAATAGTTTACATTCATTTGAGTACTGAGTCAAACTTAAAATTCCATCGGAGCCTTATATACTTAGTCCTCTTTAGTAAAATTCCTTGACTATAATCTATATTTTATGAATATTCAGGTACTGTTATTACCCTAACAGTAAGTTGATAGTATCTAGGACTCTAAAAAGTTACTGGTTCACCTGAAATGAATCCTTTCATATTCGTATTCAGGAATTAAATTGTAAGAATCAGTCATTTGAAAATTATTCTTCACAGAACTTCATAAAACTGAAGAGGACTCTAGAATTCATCTTTTATAGCTCTGTAGTGATATTTGATACTATTTGGTATCCTAACACTTCAGTGTTCTAAAATGAAACCCTAAAGCTGTAGTTCAGATGCACTGCCATAGGCTGCTGGGTCCCTAGCAGCCATACCGTGCATATAATGAGGCTTAAGCTCTGGGAATGCTCAGAGGTAAACTAGTCATGTATATGGTGCCTGGCACATGTGAGGGCCTTTTACTAGTTCTCAGAGGACACCCTACTAGCTTAAAAGGAGATGATAACATACATACTCACCCATTTGTTCCACACAGGTTATTCACACAAAGATATAATATTTTTAATATAAATGTGTATATGTATTTTCAATTGTTTTTAGAGGAAGATTTGTTTTGAGGCAGATCATTGATCTTACCTATTGAACTGGACATTGTTAGGTTATTTATCTGGAATGGATAAAACTATGTATATCATGAGAAATATAAAATATAAATGTATGTATCATGACCTCACTGCCTAAGCAGTTGTCAGTCTGTACTCTTGTTAGCATGCATGTTGATAATTGGGTTAATTGGCCCTATAATATAGCCCTGGCAGCCTGTTTCATGGTCTTGCAGTAGGCAATATATGGACATTGAGAACCTAGTCTCTGGGACCTCACTGACTGAATTGGAATCCCAGCTCCAATCACATGAGCTGAGTGGTCTTTGACATATTTAGCATTTCATGGCCTAAGTTTATCTATCTTACCAAATGGGTTTAATCCTAATAGCTGTTTTTTTTAATAATGCTTTGACTCTATAAATATTGAACATATTTTTGGTATCTTACATAGGCTCATAGTATATGAGAGGTCAAGCATATTACTTGGAAAACAAAAACACATTGAAGTAAATCTAAAAATGTATACCATCTTTTTTCCAGAAGGAAGTAGTATGATGGGTACTGAAGAAACCAATTTTGATCGTGGCTATGTAAAAAAGAAGTTAGAGCATGGACTTACACGAATATGGCAGGTTTGGTTTTTTAAAATTATTTTTTCACAGAAACAATAGAAACCTTCATGTCAAAGTTGTTTTAGAATTGAGTTTTAAAATTTTCTATATTTATATTCTTTGCTGTTCTTTGCAGATTTAATCATGTGTTTTTCTTTGGAAAAAGACTATCATTTAATTTCTGTAATGTAGATGGCAATTATATTGGACTGTAAGTATTATAGCAGTAGGGGGGGAAGTCTTTTAATTTGAAAATCTCCATTGGAAATAATTTAATTAATATATTCCTTGATTGCATTTTTGTTTTAGAGACCTAGCAAATTTTTGCTTTCCTGAAGAAATTTATGCTTTCTTATTGAGCTATTCTGTTTATTTTTATTTCACTTATTTGTATTTCCTTAATTTCCTTTTCTATTAATTTTAGTAAAGGAATAACTAAGTAGGTGACATACATTGGTCAGAATCTAGTATAGAATAAAAATGTTTTCCCAGCCAATGATGTTTTTTGCCCTGAGGGAATCTTAAATGCTTATTGGCTGAATATATCTGTTTTTCGTCTCTTGGGGCTGCTAAAACAAAATACCCTAGACTAGGTAGCTTATAAGCAACAGAAGTTTATTTCTCAGAGTTCTGGAGGCTGGAAGCTGGAGATCAGGGTGACAGCAAGATTGGGATCTGGTGAGAGCCCGCTTCCTGATTCATAGATGCCTTATTTCTGTATCATCACATGGTAGAAGAGATGAGGAAGCTTTCTGGGGTCCCTTTTAGTGTAAAAATTTGTTCCCTTTTTTTGAGAGAGAATTTATCTTCTAGTTAGAAAAGTTGAACGTTTAAAATTAAGTATTGTAGTTTGTTTTGTGAATCATTTGTTCATGATTTTTGCTCAGTTTGTTTCATGGATTCTAAATGACTTTTGTGATAATGAGTAATCATTTGTCTGTTGTTGGGTCTTATTTCCATTTATTTTCAATATGCAGATAGCATTTTTATGAGGCCAAATATTGACCTTTTTCCTTTTGTGAGTTCTCAGTGCTATATTTATTGTTAAAATGTTCTTTCCCAGGTAAAGCTCAGCTAAATATTCATCTGATAATTATAAATATTCATCTAAAGTTGATATTGCTGTGTCCCTAATAACTAGTGTACTGTCTGGAAC